TTTTTCCTTGCTTTTCCAACAAAAAGGCTTGCAAATTATGTCTCTCTTCCCACAGCAGCAATGCTGCTGGGACCGGGGCTCAGACACCCCAGTGAGCCCCAGCACACGGGGTCTGCCGCTTCACGTTCCTACCCCCATCCTGTGAGCGGGGGTGGGGGGCAGACAACCTAAGACGGGAGTTCTTCAGGTCGGGGGTGATGAAAACCAGCAGCGGGGATGGATGAAGACTAGAAGCCAGGCTCCTCACAAGCACACCCAGGCGTGGGTGGGCGGGCACAAAGATGAAAGCTGCCTCCACTGGAGGCTGCAGGTTTGGACTGGAGAGAAATCCTCATCACCACATGACTTCGTGACTTGAGAATATGCAAGTCCTTCTGGTAAGGAGGGAGCTAGGCATCACCAGGCACTCACGCATCCCAAAAGAAGCCAGAAAGGACCGTAGGCGTTGAGGTTTGGACATCACCCTGGAATTATATCTGGGGGCTCCGCTGCTGGCTGGAGAGCCCTCTGGCTGTCCCCCCGCCCAGCACTCCCCTCCCTGGCCCAGATCTCCCCAGGGCATTTCTGGAACACAGATTGGACAGCAATGTGGAGGCTGATGCTGGTTGAGAGCCTACTACGCAGCAGGCACTGCATAGTTTCCCCCCTTATCTCCTTCAGTCCCCAGCCTACATGATTTTTTTAAATGTGTCTGTGATGTCACACAAGTACTCTCTAAGCACGCACATGTGTTTGCGTGCCTACACCCACACGAGAGAGATGCAGAGAGAGAGAAAACTGCAGGGCCGAGAGATAACCAGGAGAGTCTCATTGAGGAAGAGCTGGGTTTGGATGGCCAGTGAGGAGCAACAGGGAACTTTCCAGGTCCTTTTACTTCAGAGACAGCTCTGGGTTGGTGACACAGGCCGGTGCAAAGCTGAGAGGACAGGTGGAGGAGGACCCCGAGTGGCCCTGCGGGCGGGGAGGGCTGCCCCAAGTGAAGCGAGTGAGTTCTGGAGCAGGCGTCCAGGAGCTCTCCCCAGCGCTGGTGGAGGCTGGCATCAGGCAGAGGGACAGAGCAGCACTCTGCCCACCCCGCTCCCTGCCCAGCCCTCAGGAAGATGGTAGCAGCAGGAGAGGAGCTAGTGAAGGCAGTCCCTACCTGATTGGGTGACAGGGCGCATCTGGGCTCTCAAGGGCCAGCGAGCCCCTCTGCAGCTGGCCCTGCTCTGGTGAGGTGCCTGTTCCAGCCTCTGGGAGCCCCACAGACAGAAGGGGAGGAAGGGGAGACAGACAGGGAAAGGGCTCTCACAGAAGAGCAAGCCCAGGAGCACAGCCCAGGTGGTCCCTGGAGGATGGGGAAAGGAGTAACAGGAAGTGCCTATGAATCAGGACCATCTCCCCAGAGGGGGGCGGCACACTCCTGCAGCCTGGCTCACAGCGACCTGCAGACACCTGTGGGAGGCAGGTGTGGCTGGCTGGGAACAGAGGGAAGGGACAGAGTGTGGGAGGGAGGGGGAAATCCAATCTAAGAGCGGGGCTGGCCTGTCTGTCAGTTTGTCTGCCCACTGGCCACAGGCCTCGCCTTCCTCGGGGAGCTGCGCTGCATGGCCAGGTGAAGCCACTGGACCAGCTCAATCATCGTATTTATTCTAATTGTATCGTAATCGTCCCCAAGGAGCCTGGTTCAAATGAGCTTGACATTATTAAAATTTTAATGCCCAGTTTTCATAGCTGAATGAATATTTAAAGGGTATGTCCCAGCTTAAGTTATGATGATGAAGAAATTAATGGAATGTCTTGTTTAATGCATGGGTATGTGTTGATGCAAAAAGTGGCAGGAGTGGGCTGGGGCGGGGCGCCAGAACCCGAACAGAAGGGGCCTGGGAGGGCAGGCGCCGCCAACCTTCTGCTGTGGTTGGGAGCGGAGGGGCCCAGATCCTGGGCCAGGACCACTGGCTCTCCACCCTGCAGAACCAGCAACACGGTGGGCAAGAGTCAGTGATCTGTCCCCTGAGGTCTGACCCACGGAAGGGCATCCTGGGTCACCAAACCCCACTCAGGCCCCTGGAGGCATGGCCCAGGCTGAAAGCCACGGGGGACATGGGGACACTGATGACACCTTAGCAGGAGAATCAGTCGCGCCTGTACCACAGCCAGCCCCCACCCGCCCCCAGCCCCAGGCCCTCCTGGAAGGGTGTTACAGTGGCCAGGGGGACACCAGACAGAGGAGCAGCAGTGGGGGAAGGGACAGTCACCATGGAGTGGGCTCAGAGTGCAGTGTCCACCTGAAAGGGACATCTTGGGGACACCCAGCCGGCTCCGGTTCCCACACCTCCACCTGCCCCTCCTCAGCTGTGCTTTCCCCTTTTCCTGCCGGGAAAGCCTGAACCCCCCACCTGGCCCCCTGCTCGCCCCTCTTCTGCTTTGACCTCCCCTGGACCATCCCCAACCCTATCACGCCTGGTTCCCAGCATCTCCTGGACATGTAGTCAGGTGTCAAGAGTTCAAGTTCATTTTGCTATCACCATTTACCATGTGTGTGACCTCGGGCTAGTTTCTTAACCTCTTGAAACTCCATTTCCTTGCTTAAAGTTAAGGACAATCTAGTCGCATGCTCCTAGGGGAAGTTACGATAATCCAACAATGTAATGTGTGTAGCAGCCACTCATGTCCCTCTTGCAGGTGTAGCAGTGTTGTGTGGGACCTGAGTTCCTCTTCTTGCCACTCAGTTCCCAGGCTTGAGGGTACCTTCTATATGAAACAGAGAATTTTTCAGGAACCTTTTGTGTAGAGTATCAGGGGGGCTTCAAGGTCAAGAGGAAGAAGCTAGTGGGGGTGTGGGAGAGAAGCTTGCAAATCAAGGGAGTGGACTTAGAGGAGGAAGGTGCTTGGGTGTAGGGAATGGAGAGACACAAGAGGTGGCCGAGGCCAGAGGTGAGGGGCCTGGCTGAAGAGGTTGTGTGGGATTTGATGGCCCAAGGAACCTGGCCCCAGACTCCCCTTGCCAGATGGACATTGTCCTCACTGACTTCCTCCCAGAGTAACTGGGGTCCAATAAGATCGAATACGGGCAGGCTGAGGCACCTTTGCGTTGTTAACACCGTGCCCCCCCCCTTCCCAGCTGAATCCCTGACCTGCCACTGCACATGGCTCCGGCTTGTCATTGGCACCGGAGAGACAATACCCCCACCTCGGGGAAGTGTGCTAATTACACACGCAGGGGAGCTGCGTGCAGAACTGTGCCCAAGGGAAGATGATGGCCAGACCTGGGTCCGGGTCAGCTTTTCCATAGGAAAACATAGCAGATTTGGGGGAGATGAGGAGAAAGGGGTGATCTAGGAGGGAGGGAGGGACGGTCTAGGAAAGGCTTGAGTGCTGAGTCCCCGGAAGCACTGCAGGAGACCAGGGGTGCCCTGGCACCCTCCCGGAGCCCTTCTCCCAACCAGATGCCTGCTCCCAAGCCATCGGGACCCTTCACTCAGAAACTGGAACAGAGGTAGTTTATGGGGGAGCCAGGGGCACCCTAGGTGAAGTCGGGAACTTCATCATGTCCCTCTTCCTTCTCTCTGTGATTGGAGTTCTCCCTAATGTGACAGTTTCCTCTGCTGGCCGAGCTTACACACACAACACCTCTCTTCCCCTCAGCTCCACAGGCCTGCCAAGTGGGGACCATGGGCAAACAGTGGGACCCTGCCCCCTCTCAGTGGACTGGCCCCCAGTGTCCTGTCTTGTCCCCCTGGCCACCTGGCTCCTTTTCCTCTGTTCTGTGCCCTGCCTTCTGCCTCTGTCCTTCCCAGCGGTGAGTCTGCCCTTCCTTGTTGTCACCTTGCTGACTCACCAGCACCCGCACTCCCCCACCCAGTTGTCGTGACGCAGCCAAAACTCACTTCGAATCAGAGACCAGAAGGCCTGAGGAAGCTTGTGACTGGCTAGCCCAGCCTCTGGACATGAGGAGAATTGGTAACAAAAAGTCACCCAGTGCAGGACAGAATCCCCAAAATAGCCCCGGCAACCCGGGTTTCCAGGCTCACCCTGCCATGGGTGGTCCTGCCTCTGCTTCTCCATCTATAAAATGGGGGTGTTAGTACCTGCTCTGTCTACCTTGCAGGACTTTGTTGAGACAGATATGCAAATGGATAAGGGATAAGAAGGGTGCGTGGCAGGCAAAAGCACTGGCAGACACATAGAATGCAATTCCATTTGTGTGATTCCTATTGTTTTTATTGCTTGAAATATCTTGGGACTTCAGGGCTGTAGAGCCCACCCCGGTGCGGTCAGCATCAGGAAGGATGCAAGACAGCCTGTCTTGCATCCCTGCGAGGCTGGGATGCTTGGAGTTCAGAGCCCTCTAGTGGCCTGAACAGGGCATGGAGATGGATCCCAGAGAGGCAAGGGTCCTGGAGCCTTGGGGACTCGGGCTGAGCCCTGGTATCCACCCAGACACCACATGAGTCAAGTAACTGTGCCAGCTCCTCACACACCCCCAAGGGGGCAGCCCCAGCTGCAGGCAGGAGCCCCAGCCCTGAGCTCTGCATCCACCAGGAGCTGGGTGGCCCAGAAGCTCAGGCACCCAGGACTCACAGCCTACATCTTTGAGATGGCATGCGGTCAGGTAAAACCTGCTGCCGTGCCCTGGCCCGGGCAGGGAACAGTCTTCAGCGAGAGACCAACCAGCTCCTTTCGGCAAAGCCAGCTGTGACCCGGGGTCAGCCAGAGGTGCGCTGCGGGGCCACCTCAGACTCTGATGTCACAGGCCAATAAGAGCTGCTCAAACTGGGACAGGGACACCACACAGTCTCCAATCCACAGAAACCCTCCTGCCCCAGGGACCATGCAGGCGAAGGGAAATGGGTGTGGTTTAGAGAAGAAGTTCAGGTTTGCAGCTGCATGGGTGTCCACTTGCATGTATCAGTCGGTGTGGTCTGTGTGCCTGCATACCTGTGAACCTTTGGGTGTGGGTGTGTCTGCCTCCCACCCCCACGCCTGCTCTGACACTGCCCCCCTGTGCTCTGTTGCAGATGAACCGGCCGATCCAGGTGAAGCCTGCGGACAGCGAGAGCCGAGGAGGTAGTAGCTGCCTGCGCCAGCCCCCTTCACGTGAGGGCCCACTTGTCTCTGCCCCCTCCTCCCACTTCCTGCCTCCCGCTCCCCAACGCAGCAATGCAGCAATGCAGCGACTCCCGCAGCCTCCTCCTGTCCTCCCCCCCTCAGAGTTGGGATGGGGTTTTGGAGCTCTGGGTGACTGGTGTGGGGGAGACAGTGAAGGGAAGGGAGAGTGACTTCCCTTCACAGGGTCTGCTGGATGGTGGGGTTCAGTCCTTTCCGTGAGTGAGTAACCACTAGCGTGTCCTAAAGGCCACTCTTCTGCCGCCTTTAGGACGCTGAAAAGGTGCTCCTCCCACTTCTGTGTCACCAAGGAAAGCCCCACTGTAACTGAACTTGACCCGTGAAAGGGTGCTGGGTCGGGAGGTAGGCAATGGCGGTGGGAAATGGGAGGGTTCAGGCCAGAGAAAGCAAGTCTGAGACAGGCTCCCACGGGGTGTTGGACTGCTGAGGGCAAGGTCCTGGAGCTCGATTCAGGGGTAGATGCCTGAAAGGGGGCAGAGCAGCAGCGCACAGCCTCACACTAAACACCAGGCCCCGTTCTCCTCGAGGAGACTGTCCCTTCCACTGCGGGGGGCACCCCTACGCACACAGGGGCTCAACCAGGCCTCGAGTCCCACCCACCAGGGCCCAGCCGGTGTCTTGTTCCTGCCCCCCAAGGGGTCCATGTCCCATGGCACAGACGCGCCTCCCTCAGGCCCACTGAGAGCTGCCCATCCTGCTAGTGGAGATGGGTAAGTTCAGGAGTCGAGATGGTTTGGGCATGAAGGGCCTGACCAGCAGGGCCCACCTGGTTCACGCTGCTGCTCCTGCCCCTTTCCTGGGTGTCCAGTTGTTTTGGTTTTGTCCATACACAGAGCTGCTCCAACACCCAGGGCCAGGCGCCCCAGCCCTGCCGGGGGGAGGGGCGCTGTCTGGCCAGGGCCTCCTGCAGGGCTTCTCCTCGGTGGCACGGGGCAGAGCTGGGGCTTCTTCTGAAGGCCACCTTTGGGAGGTGGGCCCAGTAGGGCCTCGGCCCCTGTCACCCCATCATGCAATGACTCACCTGCAACACCTGTTCGTGTAGTAGGATCGGGACGCAGCCAAGAACCCCATTCCAGGCAGGTAGAGTAAGTGCCGCCTGCTGCCCCAGACAGGGGCCCCCTCAGGCAGGGGCCGCCAGAGGCCTGGGAGGAAGTAGCTTTGAAGGAGGGGAGATTCCACACCTGGGATGAGAAGTCAGCCCCAGGAGAGCCCCCCACCCAGCGTGCAGAGAAGACAGCTCAAACTCCAGCCAGTTTTCTGCAGAAGCGGAGCAGGGTGGCGGGAACCCCGCCGCCCAGCGAGGCCACACTGAGCTCTAACTCAAACCCGCTCTCCCTTCCCTTGCCTCCGAGGCAATAGCTCTCTGACTCCAAGTTGCTAACCTCATCTCCTTTCTCCCATACATCTCCTGCCACTGACACTTGCCCCAAACCCGATTAATCAGCTCTTTTATTCTTCCTGCGGTAGAAAGGGGGGAAGCAGAGCCAAACCTAAACATCTATCTATTAATTGCATATTCAATATTAAACAGTGCAATGATCCTGAGTCAGCACTATCACCAAGCTAGTTTTTTAAAAAAGCGAAAGTCAGTTTAAAATAATTTAATATCCATTAAATACTTCATCTGGGTGGAGGGGCTGGGGAAGAGGTGAGCGTTAAGAGAGAGGAAAGGGATGGGAGCAGGAGAAGGGTCTGGAAGGCAGGGGTGGGAGCGGGACGAGGAGGAACGCTGTGGGGACACTGAAGGGAAAGGGGGCAGGAGGAGGGAGGAGGTAAGAGAACGGGAAGAAAGGGGGTTGGGGATGATGGGAGGGCACTGGGGGCACAGCTGGGAGGAGGAAGGGGGAGGTGGGAAAAGTACGTGGCCCGGAGGGAGAGGGGGGTTTGCCCCACGCCGGCTCCCCTCACCCCAGCTCCAGCACCTGTTACAGAGGCTGCACAGTGTCCCAAAGGCCCTGGGACACATGTGTCTTTAGGACTGTTCACCAGCCACACTCTAAGTGCCCACACCTAAGTGCTCAAGAGCAGCACAAAGAGATGTGTGTTCTGCTTGGGATTTGGGGTGCAGGTTGGGACCTTGGGCTGGGGGAGGACAAAGGTGACTCCCGGCCTTGTCCACCACCGAGGGAGGCCACGGCCCACTGATGTCACATCAGGATTCCAGCTTCTTGTTCCAAATCTCATGCTTCTAGAAGCTCCCATGGCCACACCAGCCCACAGACACACAGGAGCGGTCTGGGACAGATGGGCGTGGGGTGTGTTGGCAGGAGTTCTGTGGGGGGTGGAGGGGGCAGCACTCTGACTCTCAGGGCTGTGGTTTCTCATGAATTGCAAGCTGATGCCAACAGGCTGCCATCCTATCCAGAATGGTATGGGGGGTTCAGTTCTTTTTTCTCTGGGGTGGGCTTGGCTCCAACCTTACTGCCAGAGAGGATGGAGTAGAGATGAGGGATTTGTAATGCGCTGAACGTAAGGGAGAGGGGCAGGCTGGGTGCTTGGCGGGGGCTCCCCAGAAAGACTGCAGGACAGCAGGTCTTGGGCTGGTCTGGGCTTCCGGTCCTGTCTCTGCCTGGTATCCCCTCGGAGCCCCCACTCCTTGTCCAGGGATGGGCGGGGCGCTATCCAGTAAAGCTGCTGTTTCCAGAGCGCCCACTGAGGGCTAAGGTTTTAAACAAAATGTTCAGTCCATAGAAGAACTTTGGGAAGTGGAAGTTATTGGCCCCACTTAAAGGTGCAAACCAAGGCACAGGAGGCTACCTAACTTGTTCTAACTCACACAGCGAGAGGACGGCAGAGCCAGAATGCAAACCCTTGCCTGTCAGTCACCCTCATCAGGTTCTATATTTCTGGCTCCTGGGAGAGTCACTCTGACTCAGGGGGCACTGGGAAAACACCACAGGCATTTGGCATGCCTCCAGGCCTATTTTAAAGGCAACTGAAGGTAGAGGAGCAGGGTCTTAGATGAGGGAGGCAAGACCAGGCTAGACAAGGAGATCAGAGAAGGGATACCTCATTTTGGCCTGGAATAGGCAGGGAGGGCTTCCTGGAGGAAGTGTGAATTGGACCAAAAGGTGTAGACTTGGCTGGAGACAGTGAGGGCTAGTAAAAATAGGGCATTCTACACAAGGCTGGGGGTTGGGCATGCCTCCATCAGAAACAGGAGCCACTGATCCTGATTGGGGGTGGAGCGGGGGACAAGACAGGGTATCCCAGCTGTAATGTCCTCAGGCAGGAAGAGAGGAGACGGCCCCTGTGACCACCACGAAGAGCCAAGGCTCCAGCTAGGTAGGGAAAGAAAATCGAAAGAGAAAGAGCCTCCCTCTGCAAGGAGGACCCAGTCAATTTCACAGAGCTCGTGGGAGCAAGTCGTATTTAAACTCAGAGTCACCCCCAAATAAGCAACCCAGTCCACTAGCCAGGGGCGTGAGGCAGGCTGGGGACTGAAAGACAGCCAGAGGAGGACTGAAGGTGCGCCCTGCCCCAGCCATCTCAGAGGTGAGGACACCCCCTGGGGCATGCACCGTGGTGTCCTTTGCCTCCAAAGGCAGAGGTACCAGCCCCAAGAACTGGTTCACGGTCAGCACTTGAATTGGCTCTCCGTGGCAGCAGGGGCCCTGCAGCCTCGCGGTTTCACCCTGGGTGCTTGCCCACAGGTGCTGTCCTGCAGGCCTGACCCCCCCGCCATCCTCCCTGGTGTCTGGACAAGGCCCCCACCAGATGAGGCTCCCACAGCAGGTCGTGTGGGCTCCTTTCAGGGAGACAGACTCCAAATGTTTGGGGTCCCCCTGGGCCGAGCTGGAAAAGGCGGGGGCTGGGGAGTGTGGCCACCTGCCTCAAAGGGCCCCAAAATGTCAACAGACAGGTAGGAGACCTTGAGGAGGGACGGACTGGCAGAGGCCAGGCCAGAGGCAGCAGACTCAGGAGATCCCACCTGGCCCCACCCCCAGCAGGGCCAGACCCACAGCAGCAGAAGCAGCAGGAGCGGGCTGCCTCCCCTGACCCCAAGGGAACCACGCCCTTCCTCTTCCTGTGACCAGCTCCGCGCTAGGAGGGTTGGCCTTGCCTCGTCTCCGCTTGCCTCGTCTCTGCAGTCAAACACCTTTCATACCACCATCACCCTCACCCACAGGCTGACACCCACACTGACAAAGGCACGCACAGACACACACCCAACCTCACACACACTCCTGGTAAATGTGCTCCCTGGGGACACAGTGGCTGGGGGTGGGGCACAGATCAGGACCACCAGGATTTACCTCATCACCATGAAAGGATAGGGAAAAAAAAACAAACCCAGCAATATGGCTGGCTTAGGAGTTGAAGTTAGAAACCAAGATGGCTTAGGAAGGAGTATGGGGAAAGAGGGGATTCGGGATTGCCAAGGGGTCGCCCCACTGGAAGGGGCAGGCGTGACACTGGAGAGAAACAGTCTTCCAGGGTCTGCGCCACGGCCTTCAGCCCCCGAGGGACCCAACACTGGAAACCGCACAGGCACACCCCAGCCCACTCCAGGGCCTGGGGGCCTTCGGCTGGGACACCTGAGGCCTGAGCTGGGGGAGAGGTCCTGGCCTCTCCGCGATGCGATGCAGGGCCTTCAAACTCCCTCCCCAGCCCATCCAGGTGCGCCTTCCTGAGGAGACTTCGGTCAGGCAGAGGGAAGAGAGGCAAAGGGGATGGCCGGCCCAGGCTGCACTAGCAGGAGCCGCTGGGTGCAGGCCCGAGATGGCAGAAGGGCCTCAGCCAGACTCCACGGCGGGAGGGCAAGCCCCTGTTGCTCCCATGCTGGCTGCCGGGCCCCGGGGAGGCCCAGGAGAGGTCAAGGGGAGCAACCCAGAGCTCCAGCCATGCAGGGGGCCCTGGAGAGATAGCTGCAGTAAGCTACTCTCTGGGGACAGCTAGAGAAGCTTCTGGAGGCAGGAGAAAACTCTTTTGTGTCTCCCGAAGTCCTTCAAAATTACCTAGGGCTTCCA